CACCGATGGCCGCCATGAATCCCGCCTCCCCACGCGCGCCCGCCGCCCCACAATGCACCACGCACACCCCGCTCCTAACCAATCCCGCTCCTCTCTTCTCCCCGGCCACCAATCAAAACCCGCGCCGCGCTCTCTCGCGAACCAATCACGGAGAGGCGCCTTGGGGAGTGCCAATGAGAAAAATCGAGAGAGGGGCGTCATCAAGCATGGCAACGAGGCAGACTCGGTGCGCGGGGCGCCGGCTGTTTGGCGGCAAACGGCCGCTGAGGGGAGTTGGTCAGGCGGGGCGCTGGGCTTGCGGGGCTCCGGTTTATTGAACCCCGGCAGACCCAACCGTTAAGAAAATAGAGATTAAAATGGAGAAGGGCCGACGAAGATATTTCATGCGTGTGCTGTGGCGTGTGTTTTATGCCATCTCTCGTGGTTTAATTGCCGGCAGTGAAGCACACAGAGACAGCGTAAATATTTTTTTATCCTAGTGCCGTGGTTATGAGCCAGTCAAGCTGAAGCGCTGACACTGCATAATCTAACCAGGCATAACTAGTGTCTGAAAACAAAGCTCAGTGTCTTGTTATGTTGTACTTCCACTGGAGAAATCCATCTTGGCATTACCACAGAGAGGGGGGAAAAAGGGGAAATTATTTTAATCGATCCTGTGGGGAACCAAACATCATTCATACAGAATCACTTCATCCTGGCCAGAGTCGTCATGCTGAAGGCTCCTCGGATTTCACGTGGCCCTGGAAGGGGCGCAGCACGGTTCTCAGTGCCTTAACACACAGCAGGTTGCCTCGCGTACGCGGCCTCTCACTGTAGCGATGACAGTGCTTTGGCAGGAGGTGTGGGGGCTCATCTGCCTCTCATGTCCGCAGGGAGTCTAAATGCCATGTGGTACCATCTCACCGCGCCTTTCCGAAGGGTTGTACTTACCCTTGCTTTATGTATATGCTGAAGGGTTAAATGAATGAATCAATGTCACATAGAGGTGGGAGGAGTTACCTGGAGCTGCAAAGGGATTTTGTGTGCCACAGTTGATTCGGGGCTTCTTAAGTCACAGGACAACCTTCCTTTCAGAAACCAAGCTTGCTGAAGTCTGGCCAAAGGCTGGAGCTCAGACTGAGGCAGTCCGTGCTCGGGAGATGATTTGACCATGTCAATAAAGCTGGAACTTGTACAACTGAAAACAACACCTTCGAAGTGTGTCCAAACTGGACCTCCCATCTGCCTCCTCTTTACAGAATCATCAAATGGTTTGGGTTGGAAGGGACCCTAAAGATCATCTAGTTCCACCCCCCCTGCCATGGGCAGGGACACCTTCCACTAGACCAGGTTGCTCAAAGCCTCATCCAGCCTTGCCCTGAAGACAGCTTCTTAAATGGAAGAATGAAGACAGAAGGAGGGTAAGGGTGAGCAGGAGAGACCTGTGAGGATTAGAGAAATGTATTGTGGGAGAAAGTGGTGATAGAAGTGATGCTTTTGTCAAAAGTGAAGATGGATTGAGTCTGGGAGGAGGCACAGAAGGTAGGAGAGTAAAGGAGAACAGTAGCCCCTAGTACAAAAACCATCTAAGAATAATTTTCCTGTGCTCTCCCCCAAATCCTAACGCCAGTCACACCATTTATGATAATATACTGGTAATTAGAACCTAAACTAACATGTGTAATCTGTGTCAAAAAGTGCTTGTGGCCTCACTGCTAACATCTACACAACTACACACATCCACGATTATTTTCCAGTTGTTGCTATGCCATGGACACATCAAGACGGACACACAGAAGTTCTGCTCATCTTAACTACAGCAGTTAATGCTCTTTACCGGTGTAAGCAAATCTGCATGGAAGTAGGCAAGAAGTGCCTTGGCAGCGGTTTGTGGTGGCCAGTAGTGTATGTTGAGAAGTGAAAAGCCCTCGTCTGTCTGTGCCATTCCTATTTTTTCAGGTGGCATCCTTAGCTAATGGGAAGCTCTGAGGTTGCACTGGGCTTGAGTGAGCTCAGAGATGGGGTGAACAACCCACTTCTAAATAAAAGTGGAAGAGGGTGTCCTGCTTCCTGTGGCATGCTTGTTGTTCATTAAAGACGGAGTTGAGGAGGCGAACACCCATCCAAATAGTAGCCTGGATTCAGGAGAATTTAATCTTTCACACTTTCAGGAAAGCTATTCCTCTTAGAGAGAAGGAGAGAAATCCAGCTCCGGTCTGACTGGCGTCCTGCACATCTCCAAGTACCTGCATCAACCAGGTACTTGGAGCAGGCACCATGCTGCCCCCTGCAACAAACTCACCTCTGATTTAGCCAGATACTCTGCTAAAACCTCTGAGTATTATTTCCCAGGTGACAAACCAGTGGCACATACCTTCCCAGTATCAGAGCTGCCCCTTCTCTCCCAGTCTGTGGCACATCTCTCAGCCATCCAAAAGCAGACCTGCTGCTATCAGACCGGCAGTTAGCAGGGTGCAATGTGAGCTTGCCCAAGCTCCTTCCGTATCAAGAGCTCGCAGGCAGCCTAGGAGGCTTGGATGCAAAAATGGATCCCCCTGGCACTTTCCATAGCAGGCTGACTGTAGGAAAACCACAGAGATTATGGCAAAAAGGCAGTAACATCTGCTGAGTTATTTAAAGTGGAAGCAAGCATCTCTATTGAACAACAGGCCGTTTTGTGGCTGGTAAATAGTATATACTCTAAAACGTCCCTTGGGATGAGGAAAGAAGGATGAGAGAACTTCTTTTAATTACCCTGTGCGTGTTCTGACTTAATTCTCAGGAAATTAAGCTCCGAGGAGGCTAGGGATGGCAGCTGCAGACTGTGGCCTCTGAACATCTCCAGCCTGGGGATGTGAAGAGTGTCAGTGGAGTCAGTTCTCAGGAGAGCTGTGGGAGAGCCTGGCTGCAGAGGGACCTGGACAGTGGTCCTCCAGGTGGCCCTTGCCCCTGGCTTTGGAAACAGCCTCTTCCCCAAGACAGCAGCATGAGACTGTACAGTCCCACTGGAGATGCCAGACGTCTTACTGTTGAAATACTTACGTCTCCATGGCTTGCCTTCATAAAAGCATCCATGAGATTATTATTTTTTTTGCATAAAAAGAGGCTCTTCAGACCCATTGCTTAAATTCTTTGAAGTAATTACACCAGCATTATTCATTGCATTGCTTACTTTTGGCACAGGAATACATGCTGTTGGCATGTCTGTCTGTGTGCCACTCCCAAAGCTGCTGTTTTTTGGGGCAGATGTAGCTTATTTCTGGGTTTGCTGTCACACTTGCCACCCATTAAAAAAGGGACTTGATAAAGTTGATTTCGATATCCTCACTGTTTCATAGCCACCACACTTGAGTGATAGGGAGGAGGCAAATTGAGTTAGAGGATCAGATTAATTAATTAGAGACAACACTGGGAAACTCCCTGGTGTGGTAAAGCCCTCAGACTATTACCCTCTGTTGGTAAAGCAGGTGGGCAGTGACGAGCTTGAGGAGAGGAATCCAAAAGCCATCAAAAGGGAATTCAGGGCACTGGGACAAATCGTTGCAGGATCGGGAGCACAGGTAGTGTTCTCCTCAATCCCTTTAGCAGCAGGGAAGAATACTTAGAGGAACAGGAAAGCACACCTGATCAACGTGTGGCTGAGAGGCTGGTGTGAATGGTGGAGTTGTTGTTTTCTGAGCATGGGGAGGTTTATATGGCACCAGGCCGGCTGGTGACAGATGGTGTGCAGCTGTCTCAGAGGGGAAAATTGATTCTTACCTGTGAACTGGTGGGGCTCATTGAGAGGGCTTTAAACTGGGTTGGAAGGGGAAAGGGGGCAAAACCAGTAGTGACACTATCAGATGCCCAGAGCCTGGAGAAGAATCGCAGGTCCCCAGGAGAACACCTGGCAGGCAAAACAAGGGAATTCTAGATGCTCCAGTCTGCAAGCC